ATCATAGTAAGAAATGACGCCTTTGAAACATTTCAATAAACACCCTCCTCCTTAGAAGCATCTGCCAAATTTGTTGTGCTACACTTTCACTTTGACAGTTGTCGTTTATGAATCCTCAGCCCGATTTAAAGTCGTCTAAATAGCATAAGATCAGGGGGTGCAGGAAATGTAGCAACTATGGAGGGAAAGCAGAGACTTGAAAATGGCAGGTCTAGTTTTGTACATTTTTATGATGCAAAATCATCTTGGTTTCATCTTGTTTTGCTAATATAAATATTCATTTTTTAATGTTTTCATTTTGATATGGACTATCTGGGATGTAAGACTCAATATTGAAATGCAATGAATATGCTTATTTTTATTTTATGGAGTTAGCACATGGTATACTTTTGTAGGATTTATTTTAGACATTTCGGGTTTACCAGATATAGTTCCAATAGCAAGGCCTTTTCAAAATGATATTGATATGATGTCCTTTATTGCTTATAACAACTCTGATTTTTGAAACATATATTAGTTATCTTTAGGTTATAGAATCAACTTCACTCTTACTCTCCGTTTAAACCTACAAACATCTGATTGTCTTTAGGCTTACTATTCCCTCTTTATTTATAATTATCCATGCTGCTGTGGGCTTGTTTAGTGTGTTAGCCTTTTATTTGTTTCTTGTTGTTTCAGTTGTCTCTGTGTTGTTTTCTTATCTAGAGAGGAGCTACACTGGTTTCCTTCAGTACTGCTCATTAGAAATTTATGCCACTGGGGAGTGGTCTTTCTGCACTGTACAATATGGTAGCATTAGCCATATATGGCTTTTGAGCACTTGAATGGGGCTAGAGCAATGGGAGAGTTGAATTTTTAGTTTAAATAGCCACATATGGCTGGTAGCTACCTGATCAGACCTCACAGTTTTAAGTTATTAGTCCCCCAGGAAACCTTCACTAATCCTCTTGAATCAGTACTCTCATAGTACCCAGCTCTCTCCAGTCATAGCACTTTTTACTATTGTACAGTAGTTGCATCTTTCTTGTAGGAATCCAACAGTAGGCTGTAATCTACGTGAGGGTAAGGGCATATCTGTTTTCTTTACCTTTGCTATGCACACCTTAGGACTTAGTAAGACATGCTCACTAAGTATTTGTGGAATGCATAAAATAACTTCTTGAAAGCATGTAACTTACCTTCAGTATTCTTTCTAGGGTCCAGGGCTAAGTATCCAATAGTGTAAATACCTGTTTAGTGATTGAACAGATGTTATATAGGTAACAAAGAAAAGGATCATTGGAGGTATGCCTTAAATGCTTATTGATTAGATTACTTGTTTTGGAATCTCATGTAAATAAAGACTCATGATAAAGTACTGCAAGAAATTGAATGAAAGGGCCCCCTGATTCCAACTAATGTGGACATATCTTGGGTCTCCTATTAGTTGAGCAGGTCAAGGATGCTACTCTTGAACCATGTCCTAAATAAATCTGAGGGAGTCTCTTGGCCTCACTGAGGCTCTTTTGTGGAGCCGTGCTATTCCTGAACTGCTCTGAAGAAATTAGTGGACATCTACATTTAGCACTGCTCTGTGTTAAGGTGTGGACTAGGATCCTTGAAAAATCATGAGATATTAGAGCCATGTTACAAATGCTTTTGCTCAGAGCTAACTTGGGGTGATGGATAGGATGGAATTCCTGTTTAAATCAAAGTTTGGGGAATTTGATTCTAGCTATTGTAACTATTAGGGCATCTGTTCCATACACAGTTAATAAGGGTCATCTTTTTGTCTTAGGCTTACATTATATAATCAGTTATTACCAGTTAACCATAGTAGGATTTGGAATGAAGGTATATACTCAGTCCAGATCAGTGCACCTCTACATTTGGTCAGGATCCCAGGGGTCAAGAGGTCTTTAGATTGAGAAATTGCTTTTAGAGGATGATTCTGAGACTATAAGGATATTTAAAGAGGTGTATAGAATGGTGGGTTTTTCATGAAGGGAAGGAAATGGTACTAGAGAAAAATGCAATAAATACACAAAATGCAAAGAATTTCACTACATTGGTTGGATAATATTGTAGCTTCTCTGGGCTTGAAGTATCTAACATGTAAAATCATTAAGTTGATTACATCTTCTTGCATAAATTATCTTTCCACCTTGAATCTAGGATTTGAATAATTGTTAGATGTGTAAGACCCTATATCTAGCTCTTGTGGTGTTAGTTGTGTAAGATATAGTTATGTATATATTATATAATAGTTATATATTATATAGTTATTACATGTAAATATATTTTATTAAAAATCATACTTTATGCCCCATATCCAATCTCTCTCCATCCCCCCCCAATAACCCTAGATTTCGTCTATAAGGAAATGAAGGGTGCTCTGGGGATCACTTTCAAAAAATTTTTTTTGAATGGGAAACCACACCCTTTGAAAGGGGGGGCATTTGGTGGCTCTTCTAACCA